AACTGTAAGGTGTAGAGGGTGGATTACCCCACGGCACGTAGCCCTTACTAAATCCATTGTGCATACTCTAAAATTGATAGGCACCTACATATATAATGTAGTTGGCAACGTCGCCTACAGGTGCGTCTCTTATATCACCTGGTGTAAGCAGATAGTCGCCAAACACAAATCTTCTAAAAAAAATGAGAGCGTCGAGCAATTGTAGAGAACATTCTTGATCTTCTTGTTCGCTCCCCCTGTATAGTGCGAATTCTAATAGCCCCACGCAATGGATATGCTTCCGTATTTGGCAATAACCAGTCAGAGTGCCTGTGATCAGGCATAGATCATCTCTAGTCATAGTCAAATATTTGTTTGCTGTAGTGTTGCCAGGATAAAGCTCCCTGGCAACTGTGCAGTTTCTTGTTTCATCCCATCTTTCCTTTAATTTCACAAGGAAATGTTCTTTAATTATGTCACTACCAAAGTTGTCAGTCTAATCGAAGGACCAGGTCCAAAAATATTTGGTTGCCTATCTCTTTGGCTAGTGAATCAGCAAGATGGTTACCTTTCGACGTGGAGTGATTTTTGGTCCATTTTAAGATGACCACATTATTGATGGTTACTTCGGCCAAAGCTTCTTTTAGATTCTCATACTAACCCTGAGTAAATTCGTGGTCTGTCCAAGGTGAGATATGCTTGTCTGCTATCTGTTTAGATGAGCATGTACCTTCCAGTGATATTGTTTCTGGTTCAACTTCCCTATAGTAATATTAGTGATAAGTGTTCTAGCAGTACCAAGATTCTTTGACGATGTTCCTATATACTTTATTTTAGAACTATTTTCAATAACTTTTACTGACACAGACCCAAAGCTAGACGAGTTTCAATATCTGGTCGTAAAGAAACAGTTTGTTATATTGTACAATTTGGATTTTTTCCTATTTTGTATTTTATACCAAACTCTTTACATTTCTTTTTAATACGGGCTTTTCAAGGAAGTCTAGCATCAAATATATTTTCCTGAATTGGCACAAGAAATTTGGGTGTCGTTTATTCCATATTAAGGTGATGTGGATAGATATGCCTTTATTCAATTTAATTTTTCATTTCCTTGTCCAATTTTTTACCTGATCTATAGATATTTTTGACAGTATCTTCTTCTTGGTCCTTTTCAACAACCTGGATCACAGTATAATCAGCAACTGTTGCGATAGTACTGTATTAGGAATATCTTTGGTATACAACAGAAAGAGTACTGGATTTAGTACACTACCTTGATGTAATTGTGCCTCGAGTTCTTTCAGGTCAAAATAGGCATCTGTTTATTTCTGATAAATAGAATTTCAATAGTTTTGAGTATTGACGTGACAGTAACATATTCTGTTTAAGAATCAGGCTTTTATGTCATACTACCTTGTGGCATTGTCGTGAACTTTGATTAAGTCTACTACATAGTATACAACAACAGGTGATAATAACGATATTTTTTCTACGAATCTGTATATTTGTAGCGAGTGTCAACTTCGGCGAATCGAAAAAGAGTTTTTATCGGACGTAATGCACACATTAAACTTTTTTTACGACTTTTTATTATTAATAGCAATAAATTTACCAATTATCGTATTGTCATGACAAATACATTAATATAGTAATATTTACAATTAGTAACATGCATATGAATCAGTGAAAACGATAATCCAAACTCTATTTTTAACAGAAGATGCATCGCATGACTCATTTTTAAATTTCTTAACGGTTTAATTTTACATATTTATTGCTTCTGTTATTGCGAAACATCTTGCTTTTCACGGTATTAAAATAAAGGTTAATTTCGTTTTATAATTTTAATACTTTTATTTACGATTTTCTAATTTACTGAATTTTTATTTGTAATAATAAAAGGTTATTAGCATTAGGAAGAGCGCACAGCAAAAATGATGAAATAAAATTAAGTTAAATACACGATAAAACAGTTGAGAGTCTATATTATAGGCTAAACTGGTTTACACGGCAATAAAGCTTATAGTCACGGAGTTATTTGAAATAAAAAAAAAGCAAAAACGTTGAATGTCACAGGCAAATACAGAAAAAATCGTGAACGTGACGTGAAGATGAACAAAAACAAATGTATGTCGTTTTTTACATAATATTATCTATATTTGATATATTATTATACTGTTATTTTATAATATAATAATAGTTTATTCCAAAAAGTTTACAGATTGTTTGGTATGATCCATTTTGAGCAAGCACTTCCTCTACGTTTTTAATATTTTCTTCTTGTTTCGACCTGTTTACAATGTTCCAAAGATTTTTAGAATAGTTACTATTTTTTTTTTATTTCATTCTTAAAATAATCTTTTTTGCAGATTTTATTATTTTCTTTAACTGGTCTCTGTAGCTAAATAATTCATTTCTTTTTTTTAGGTTATTTGGGTTTTTTAAGTACTCTTTGTACAGAGTATTTTTTATATTTACGGACTTTACCAAACCTTTTGTAATCCATTTTCGTATTTTTTGTTCGCATTTCTTTCTTTTTAACAATGTAGTATTTTTATTTATAAATAGTTCAAGGGATTTTGTCAAGATATCGCATTTTTCATTTACATTTTTCGAGTTATAAAATTCTTCCCAATCTTCATTTTTTAAGTTCTTTAAACTACATCACTTCTATTATCTTCAATATTTAAGTTAATATAAAATCCTATATCATCTAATCTACTTTTTTATTGAAGATACTCTCTTAAAGACAATACAAAATTCTCATCATTAGTGGAAGGGGACCGATATATGCAAGTTATTAAGATTTGTTTTTTTTTTCAGAAGTAGTAATACATATTTCTAAAACTGAAAACTGGCCTATCATTACGATTTTATGTGGTTGTTTATACTTATTTTTAATGAATACCGCAACCCCACCATTTTTATTTAATTGACCGAAGTTGTATATTAGCTGGTACCCCTCATTACTAAAGTAATGAATGTCGTCTTCTATGAAGGTCTCCTTATCCCTATTAATTTGTGAGAGAAGAGCCATAAATTCATCAAAATTTTTATGCATACTACGAATGTTATGGTGAATATCATGGTACAGTTACATACTATTGTTTTATTCTTGTGGAAACACTATAATGTCGACACCCATCTATGTAGTAGAGATATAAAATGTCCTCTAACTTGATCAGTCAGTAATCCCATCATTAAGTTATCAAAAAACACTAATAACTCAACACTAGCAAAATCTAAATGATTTAGAAAGATGTAATTTGCATTGTCCTTCGAGCCAATATAGTACAGCATCAAAGTAATATATTGTTTTTTTTGAATTCATTTGTACATATTTGCAATTTGTTGGAAACGAATTTGTCGAGTATGATCCTGTTAAATTTTTGATATGCATTACGTCAGTCGCTGTGAGAATTTTGATGCTGATCGGTGCATTCAAATGCGAAATATGATATAAATTTTGCAATGGAATTTTAATAGACATGTTTCATTCCCGTCCGTTCATTTGTACACATTATTTGTTGAATTTTTTTTGTTCGACTTGTTGAAAATCGTTGCCTGTTGAACGATTTTTTTATTTAGTTTTTTTTTTGTTGGGAAATAATCAGAAATGCGATATGTGTATATATGATTTTTTTGCTAAATTAGAATCTTAATACCACAAAACCTCGTAAAAATTAGTTTAAAAGAAACGGTGAAGTAATTATTGTTGCATTATTTAAATTATGCTGATACAAATGACCTTCTACGTCGAGCATATTTCGGACGAGGTTTAAATAATTAAAAGGAAAAAATAACAATTTTTTATTATTAATTATTGTCTCATCACCTAGTCTGGCAATAACGAGAAGCTCGTTTATCATCTTGACTCCCACAAAATCGCGTCACCCATCTAAGGCAATTATCGTTAAAAGGATTTAAAAATGCTAGTAGGAGTGGCTACATTTGCATTCGTAAGAAAATTAACGGATTAGCTAGGCGATCGTTAACTTTCTGTAATAGTTACAAAATTAATCGAGTAATAATTAATTGATAAAAATTGTTTGGTTTTAGTGTGGGATATGAAAATGTATTCATCGTCTACAGAAACGAAGTATTTCTTTTCATCATTAACTACAGATTTGATAAGCACCATAGAATGGCCAGTTGATATTAATAACTTAATAAACGTTAGTAATGCTTTATTTTGATCCTCTTCTTTTCATGATTTATTTAAACCACAATCGAATTTTAAGTACTATGTTAGCACTCTACTAATTCTTATACCATTTACTTCAAATTCTTCAGGGGCGTGCGGTCCATGGAAGCCGGGGAAGCACCGCTTCCCTACACTTTGAGATTTAAAAATAAATTTTTCACTTTACAATGCAAAGAAATTAATATTAAATTAGGTAAGTACTATATTTTCTGTGAAATATTACGTAAACTTCGTACTAACAATTCATTGGTGTAATGTATAAACGCACGCACCACCCATGAGAAAATTAATTGTGTAAACCTACACACCATATACTTCGAGTCCGCCGGCGGAAGCGCGTCTTGAAAGAGCCGTCTCATCTTCCAACCACAGATATAGCAAACTTAAGTCAATTACCCATTGTTGTGCGATATGTATTGAATGGCATTCCTCAAAAACGATTCTTAGGATTTTTGGACGTCACTAGCGAACGAACTGCAGATGCATTGTTTAAAATTATTTGTGACATTATTTCAAGTTTAGAATGTGGTTCTAAGCTTGTTGCCCAGAGCTACGATGGTGCTGCCGTAATGGCTGGCCATTTAGGAGGCCTTCAAGCTAAAGTGAAAGAGAAATTTAAACATGCAATTTTCGTTCACTGTATAGCATATAGACTTAATTTGGTTTTATCGCGAAGCATGGATAATATTAAAAATTGCAAAGTTTTCTTTTCGACGCTTAGTGGTTTGGCTTCCTTCTTTTTAAAGTCATCGAAAAGAACTCGCGCATTGGACATTCACGTTCAAAAAAGGTTTCCAAAAGTTGCTCCGACGCGATGGAAGTACAATGGACGTTTAGTGCAAACAGTGTTTCAATACAGTGTTTGATACACTTTTTTCAAGACGATTGGGATAATAAAGAAACATGGGTTGCTGAATCTGTTACTGCCGCTAAAGACTATTTGCATTGGCTCAAACAAAACTTTGATTTCAATTTTTTGCTCAACATTTTTGCAAAGATTTTCCCTTTTACTGACATTATATTCGACATTTTACAGATAAAGTCACATGACATTGGCTTTTGCATTAAACAAATTGACGATTTTAAAAATAAAATGAATAAAAAACGAGATCAGTTTGAACATTTTTGGAATAAGACTCAAAACATTGACTTAGAACTTGAAAGAAAGCAAATTAGAATTGATAATGTCGGCGACAGAGAGACCTCCTATCGTCGATTATACGCCGAAATTTTTGATAATATTTTACAACAAATCAACTCTCGATTTCAAACCTTTAACGAATTAAAATTTGTTGAATTGTGCAATTTTAATATAAGTAACTACGATTCATCAAAATTTCCATCGGAAGCTTTTAATTCACTAAAATTAAATTATGGAAATTTTTTCGATATTCCAGCATTAAAGTCCCAGTTAAGTGTTGTTTATGAAACAACTGAAATTAATGATAAAAACACGCCCATCAATGTATTAAATTTTCTTATAACAACTGGTTTAAATAAGTCCCTTTGTGAAGTCGTCAAGTTGTGTGAATTAGTACTTACCATCCCAGCCACAAGTGCGTCAGTTGAGCGAAGTTTTTCAGCTTTACAGCGTATTAAAACATTTATACGAAATTCAATAAGTGAAGACAGACTCTCTAATTTAGCCCTAATATCTATTGAAAAACAGCTTGTTAAACAGTTAACAGAAAATCCAAAATTTTACGACGATGTTATGATAAATTTGCAGTCATTGAGGATAGGCGAATAGATCTTAAGTATAAATAAATGTCAACTGCTGTGTCAACTGTGCGAAAAATGCTGGAAAAAATAAAAAAAAAACTTCAGTTAAATGTTTTTTTTACGTTTAAATAAATCAAGGAAGCTTTTCAATGGTAAGTTTTTTTATAGCTTCTAGTATTAAAATAGGTAATAAAGTAATAGTAACACTTCAAAAATCTCAATCTCGAATATCCGTAGTACTAAAGAAAAAAAAGCAAGATTTTGACAAAATGGTGAATGCCCCTTCCAAAAATGTTACCGCACGCCACTGAAATTCTCTGTCCTTTGCTTGAACTTTTTTTTCTAATAAATTATCATAGAAGCATTTATCAATAAAAATCCCATTCAAAGAACATTTAATAAGAAAAACTTGTATTTCATACAAACATGTTTACTGTATCCTTTTAAATTTCCAAAATACTCCTCTCCTTTTCTTTCTATTTAATTTACCCTTCATTTTTCGACTAGGTGTCATGTATAGGTCATGGTCTAGCCACGACAATCAACCTCTGATCCAGTATGTCAGAGACCTTCACTTCAAATTGAGTATGTCTTGGTTTCTTTGGACCTATGTACATATGGATAATAACCTTAGAACCCAAGTATATCCCTCTATTACATTATTTATCCATGATGGTTTTGGAATGGTTCAGTAAGGTTGACTCCAGCACCATTCGCGATAGTGCCTTTCATTCTGGCAACGTTATTTATTAATGACATTTTATTATGTCATCCGTCACCAGTCAACTACGAAAAACGAAAACATATTTTAAAACCCCTTGGAAACATACCACTCACCCCTTTTTAAATAGCTCTAGAAAAGAGCGCCTTATTGCCATTATTCCCCCTACTACCACCACCAACACGTCTTAACTAGGTAACCCGGAATTTTCGTTCTCGGTATCAGTATAGAAGGATAAAGGAGTGTTCGTAATTACCTTTAGCTAAAACTCCTTTCTCGTAAATAAGATGTTATTAAATTAGAACAGTTGTTTACGAGCCAGCATTATCTGAAATTGTTGCCGTAAAAATTAGCCTATCGTAAATATTTTATAATCGTTTATTTAGACACGAATAAGACCGGATTTTCTATTGTTCGTATTTGTTTATGGTACGTTTACAATTAGGATATCAGAAATTCGCCGTTAGGTATCCAAAACAACATTAGTAATGAGAAAACGTTTATTTTTAAAATGTTGTGTATCGAATAACAAAACATAAATGTATAGAACAGATAAAGGACTCTGCAAAATGCAAAATGGCTTTTGAGTGGAATGTCTTAAATTTTGGATATATTGTAGTGTTTAACCTTTAGACCAAATAGGGTACAATTTTGTAAACTTACAACAATAAAAAATGATTTTGTAAATTTTTCGAATTATTTTGATTAAACATTTAAAAAATATATCAATTTATTAAAAGTAATAATAGACATTTAAAACGCATTTTGTCCATATTTTTTAAATTTAGGATAAAGATGGCGTTGCAGTCTTAACCCATTAATGCCTCAGTAATTTTTTTTTTTAAATATATAACTCTTACCATATTTTTATTTTAGATAATTAAAAGTGTAATAATTTTGACGCTGAGATATTTTGTCATTTTGACAGTTTATTTGCTGCATGATATATAAGCAGGTAAAGGGTTAGTTTTGAATTAAATAACAACTGTAGATGATATACGATTTTATTGTAAAACATTAAATTTGTAATTATTTAGTGATAAACATGAATTTGGGTGCAGTTCAACACAGTGTGGGGATCGTATTTGAGGAGCCTGTTTATCAATTAGGTGGTCTTTTCAATCAAAACGTATTGCCATCAAAACGTTTCTACTACATTTATGTCTTAGCTCTCCTAAATGTTCAAGAGAGGTAAGAAGGGATAAAACAATTTGTCTTATAAAATCGAGAAGTCCAACCTTGGGATGAACAAATCTGTAGAGGTTCCATATATTGACATTTGAACCATTTAGACAAAATCGGAAAAGATGCCAATATCATTTTATAGAACGTATGAAAAAACGATGTAAGCTACGTATTTTGTCGGAAAGATCTACGCCTCCCATTACTTGGTTGTACAAACTCACAAAAGTTGGTTGACCATTGATCAACATCTACATGTCTTCGTTGAGACTTAGACCATCTTCTGCATGTTCCTTTGGAAAGAGCAATGTTTTCTGAATTTGTATCTATTGTGACTTGGTTTTTATCACTCCACCCTGTCAAGGTTATGTTGCTATTGTATACAATGAGTAGACTTCCACGTCTTTGAGAGGAGCCTTTTTGATCCGATCTGAACGCAATGTACCAACACATGTTATTTTTTTACGTTTCAGCTCTTGAAGAAAAGATAAAGGATTTAAAATATTATCCAAAAACACAGAGGATCCTTCGGGCAAATAGTTATTGCAAAGCTTTTTAGTTACGCTGGACCCCAAGGTTTTCCCTTCTATTTTGCCACCTTTGCCACAATAAGGATGACATTTTAAAACATAACCCTCAGAGGATGTGAGGCACCAACATTTGAAACCATACCAAATTGGCTTCCCTTTTATAAACGGTTTCATACTCTAATGTCCAAAGTAGGGTTCCATTGTTTCATCAAGGGAAGATGACTTTCCTAAAGGTTCAGCCACGTCTTGAGAAATGTTGATAACATGATTAAGAAGAGGTTGGATCTTGTATACTTATTAGTTCTATTGTTCTTATTCAAATGAAGGTACCTGAGAATTATCTTAAATCGGTCTCATGATATACTGTTGCTAAACAAACAATTATATGTTTCACTTATCGTTTTCTAGTACATAGTACACTCTTCTAAAGGGAACCTTACAGTATCTAGGAAGAAGCAAGATTCCTTTGTCGACACTGAGAAATTGTGATTTCCCTTGATTTTTCTGGACAAAAAATTTATCTACAGGCCCGTAATTACAGTCCACACTCAAGCCGATAAATTAAACCCCCAAAAATGTACAGTCCAATTGTTATCACTGACTACTAGCTTATAATTTTTGATAACAATGATACTGTTACCAACTGTTTTTTATTTCAGTTCTTTATATTCTTTAAACACATTAAAAAGCACATTTTCATAAAAATTTGCCGTATAACAGATTTTGACCAGCGATCCCGGGAAACAACCTTCCCTAATCCCGGTCGCGCCCATGGAGGATATCGGTTTCCGTTTTTATCCCGGACAAGGTGAGAGTACGATGGGGTTTTTGGTCCCCGGGCAACAAAAGAAAACTTGGAATGAAAGAATAAAAAAAAAGAATGCGGACGAATCGTTCTCTAATGAAAACGAATGGAAGCTCAGCGTTAGTTTCAAAGACAATATTGCCGCGCCGCGGAAAAAGTTAATATCTTCATAGCTTCATCGGGTCCACTGTGTTGCTCCAGCGGATGAGAAGGGAATACCGAAAATAAATAAAGATGTTGGCCGATTTATATAATATAGATATAAACTTTTTATTTAGTCCAGTTAAATTAGTAATTAAGGGTAGAAGGTTATTCATATTTTAAATTTAGTATGTTTTAATTATCCACAGATTTTTCTGTTTATAAGAATGAAGAGATCATTAATAAATAAATTAAACAGCAACGAAACCAAATGAGATCCTTGCGGTACATTTGATGAAAACTGCATACGATTTGTAGTTGTTTCCTAGCTATCATTCCAATTAGGAATATCTTCACACCCATATGCAATTTGTGTTGAGTCAGTTGCGATTAAAATTTGTTTCTGTTTCGAACAAACAAACCATTTATTTTGTAAATCTCTCGGTGAGATTGCCATGGTGATTATATAACGAATTAAAATGTCTATTCAGCACATGGCATGACATAAGATTGGGTAAGTGTCTAATAACTTCCTAATCATTTGGCAAGAGCGTAAAAAAGAGGTTTTTGAACAATTAGTATGTCATATACCTGCGTCCGAATAAAACGCGCGCTCCTGACCTCGACCCATGGGAAATTCACGCCTGGATCAAAAAATGCTTTACCATCACCTTCACGGCACGGCAAAGGTTACACCAGCCCTTCCCCCCGAGTGATCCCCTTAAATATATTTTTCCCATTCGCGAACGGAGGATACGGATCTTTTCCCGGTGCGGTGGTATTTGCTTTTTAAATTTTTCTCCGCCTTGCTCTGATTACCCCTTCGGCAAATGGCTCTTCTTCTATACGTTCGGCTACCTCGGAAGGTCGGAAACAATACCTTTACCCACATGCCGATACCCGTTGTTACGGTTCGGCTATGGAATCAATCGCCATTAGCAAAACTTCCCGGCTCAGAAAGGTCGCAGTTTATTTTTTTTTTGTCCGTCGACAATCCCCGTCTTGTTTTATATATATCGGCGATTGTTTTGCTTGAGGTAGATGGAAAAACGATCGATGACTCGCTTTCGTTTTTTAAAATACATTATGGTGAACATAATATGGTCCTTCGAGCCGATTCATTACGTTAAGACTCTGAGGCTTTCTAAACAAATTTTTTTAAATTGATTGATCATACGTAGTTTTTGTTGTATCATCTACATTTGGACCACTCAGGGAAAAAGCTATATAATCACAATTTTTTAAATGTATTATTACAAAAACGCTAATAATAGTAAAATTATCAAAAATAAAAAATAATTAATAAGTTAACCAAATGAACATTTTTAGCTAACTTACAATTTTATTTAAAATTGAGTTTTATTAAAACTATAGTACTTTTTGTAGAGATAACTGCGTTACTCAAAAATCAAAAGCTTTAGGTTTTGTCTGGTACAGAAAGGTACTACATTTTGACAGTTTGTTATACTATTAAAGATCCGTAAAAGCCACGAAAAATATTTATATCTCTTAATCAAAATGGATATTATACTCGGACAAAATATTGAAGAAGGTGGTTCCTCCCTGTTCACGTACAACAATCACACTATACCAGAGCATAATGAATGGAATCACGCGCTTAAAACTGCAGAAGTTATCGGTATCACATG